TAATCCCAATTCAAAGACTTCTTCTCGTAATCTCGAACGTTCCTGGTGTCTGGTGTTTAGTGTTGCGGTATACGCACGGCTTATTCACATCTTCTTACTAGAGAATCATCCCAATCGTCCTAGAGATACCTTCCATGTTCGGGTCTGACGCGATTAATGGGAATCCAAGGAGCGACGCTCCTTTCTTGTCTCAACTCTCAAGGCCTCCAATCACCTGAGCAAGACCTCTCCATTCGCAATCTTGCCATGCGACGGAATTGTGTTAGAGGATTTGGACATCTCCGAAAATGAGCAGACAGGTTCAAACGCCACACCCACAACGTCGCCACTTCGTACGCGATATCGCATCCTTCTCATTGGCATGACAAACATCGCCATTGCAAGACGTCAGATACGTTGTCGGCCGCGGTCTTACCCTAGCGTAGTCCAAGTCAACATGCCAATACTCTTGTGAGGTGTAGACCATGATATAGCCAGCCAAACACGTCGTGGCTGCTGACAGTAGCGAGCTAAGCGACTTGCCGCCGTGCCCAGGTGCGATGGACCGTCCCGCAATTTTATCGTATACGGCGGCTCCGTCATCTTGTGCATGTCAAGAAAGGCTATGCCAGGGCTTGGTGTCTTGGGGCGGAAATATTCATCCTGCCACGTGCCAGCGGAGCGCGAGCATGGCCAGGTGTGGTCTGATAATCTGCAGCTGTTATGCGGCATTCGGCTGTTGTCCGTGGAGACGTTTGTTGCATATCGCGATTCCACGGTTCGATCTTACTCGCAGGCCATTTGCAGACAGCAAACATATTTACTGCTGAAGTTGTTCCATGGTAGTTTGGTTGAGGTGAAGGTACTAGCTCACTAGATGCAATGTCGAAAAAGGCATGGATGTCCGCCACGGGCATAGATTTTCACCCGACCCAGTTTACCCCGCACACGCTACCGGCGTCTACTGTTCTGTCAAGCTTCACCACCCATACCGTCGATAACGGTCGGTCGCCAAGTGCCTTATGTGCATCCTCCATGCAGCTCTCTGCCTATAAGATATCGCAACCCCAGATGCCAACCAGAGGGTAAGGCTTGACCTTGTCGACTGCCAAGTGGACCCTTCCCCAGATTCGCTACGATGATCCGAGAGATAGCTTGGAACAGCAACTGTTGCGGTAAACATGGGACGATGCTAGTCCTCGTGCAGTTTCCCCGCGGGGTATGACTGTAGTGATGGCGAGGTAGCATCATGAAGGATGGCTCGGCAATGAAGGCCTGCAAAGCGAGGCAGCGGGCATAAGAAGACACACACCCTTCGCTCGGAAGGCTCATAATCAGGCTAGAAATCATACTCTATCCATCAACCTTACGATCAATTTCACTGAATCTTAAACCAACATATGGGTTGCTTTAACACTCATGCATCCGGTACTCTGGACCCGCCAGAGGTCCGCAACTGGCGGATCCACCTCATCGCACTCATCGCCTCGATGTCTGCGCTAGCTAGTAAGTATGATTGAACCAGTCCGAGTGTAAAAGCTAATGTCGAAACAGTGGGTTACGATACAGCCGTTATTGGCGGGACTATGGCTCTCGAGTCCTTCATTCGTGACTTTGGCATGAACGACATCGCAAAGAGCAATCGCGACACAATTCAAGGCAACATCGTTTCTACTTTCCAGGTAGGTTTCTCGAAATGAGCTGTTGCCAAGTCGTCGCGAACTGACAATGAGTAGGCGGGATGCTTCTTCGGAGCGCTTATCGCTTTTCCCTTCGCAGAACGCATTGGTCGAAAAAAGACTATGATATTTGCCTCCGCGGTATTCCTTCTTGGCGGCACACTCATGACGGCCTCTCAAGGTAGTCTCAACATGATCTATGGCGGTCGAGCCGTAGCAGGTCTAGGAATTGGCGCATCAAGTATGGTCGTGCCTGTTTACATTTCTGAAACAGCTCCACCTTCCATTCGTGGCAGATTGGTCGGTATTTTCGAAATCGCTTCGCAAGGTGGAGGTATGCTGGGCTTCTGGATCAACTATGCTTGTGATCAAACCATTAGCGTCGAAGGCCAGACGCAATGGATCGTCCCTCTTGCGATCCAGCTTATTCCCGGTCTGCTCTTGCTTCTCGGTGTCGCATGGTGCCCTGAGTCGCCTCGATACCTCGCAAAGAAGGACAACTTCGAAGGCGCAGAACGCATCTTGTGTAAGATTCGGTGCCTCGACGAGTCACATGCGTACATCCAGCACGAGATGAGCGAGATCCGCGCGCAAGTCGAACGGCGTAGCGCCAATCGACAGAGTAAGAAGCAACAGTTCATGAAGCTATTCCAGAAGGGTGTGCGTAACCGCATGGCCATTGGTCTTGCGCTCATGTTCCTGCAGTCCTTCACTGGTGTAAGTATATACCATCTGCACGGCACGATAGAGACTAATCTGTCAGGTCAACATCATCACTTACTATGCACCTCGCATCTTCGAAACCCTCGGTATTTCTGGAACCTCGTTGAAGCTCTTCTCTACTGGATTCTACGGCATCGCAAAGACACTCGGCATGTTCACCTTTACCTTCATCGTTGTGGAGAAGGTTGGTCGTCGCAAGGGCCTTATCTGGGGAGCTGCACTCGGTTGCATACCCATGTGGTACATCGGCGGTTATGTCATGAAGGCTGATCCCGCTGGAGCTGCTTTGAGAGGCGATGTCACACGCAACGGCTGGGGCTACCTTGCTATGGTCTGCGTTTACATCAACGCCTTCATCATCTGCGCTACATGGCAGGGGATCACGTGGACTTACGCTTCCGAGATCTTTCCACTCGACATCCGTATGCTTTGTGTCTCGCTCACGACTGCGGATACTTGGCTCGGTTCTTTCATCATTGCCCGCAGTACCCCATACATGATCTCAGATCTGGGTTACGGGGCTTACTTCTTCTTCGCCACCATCTTAGTCGCAATGGGTATCTGGAGTTTCTTCTTCGTACCCGAGACGAAGGGTATCAGTCTTGAGGAGATGGACGCCCTCTTCCTAAGGCCGATGCACCAGGCTGTTTGGGCGCAGCTTCGCGGCAAGCCGATATTGACCGAGGAAGAAGTAGTTGCAAGGAACAAGGGTATGGAGCATGAGAAGGATATTGGTGTTGAGACAATTGAAACAGTAAAGAGATAAGACGAATGAAGGCGACGAGGGGGCGCGATCGATGATGGCCGACAACTCGGCGTCATTTCCTCTTGTCGCCAAAGAAGGCGGACGGACGCGCTTGGACCTTTCCTACCCTGGAAGGTTCACGCGGCATTCAATCAACATCTCCGTCTTCATACTCTTGAACCCTTCTCAGCGCTTGTGACATGTGACGCACTGGTTTTTTGATACTGACTCCCATTGTTCATCTTCATCGATGCGCTGTTATACTCAGTACTAACTCAGCATGCACAGCCCTCCAGCTGCCCAGGTAGGATCGTTGCTTAGATAATAACAGCTTGGCACTGATCGCAATCTACTCGCTGGGAAGCTGGCCTTCTGCATTATCGCTCTGACAAGACAACCACAGGTATCAGGACAGATCACGCACATTGTCTAACAATGTACATCGGCCGATACCTCACTGTTCGGTATGGACACCAGAGCTGCAAGCGTTCTCATGATCCAGGGAAAGCACGAAGAACCCCGGCGACAACCCCACACTCCCGCATTCAATAGCGAGACTTCCCACGCGACAGTACGACCACCAAGAATCCTGTGAGACGGACGAGATGCGGAGAAGTCATTGCATCTGGTGTCTGACAGCCACGGTCGCGTCAGTACCCCGATCACGGTCGATGCCTGCAAAGACTGCCGAGGTACCCGCGTGCGGTAATTGGCTGCACGTGCGGATGATCTACGGCGGAAGGGGAGCTTGCGCGATGCCGAGGCATCGTCAGCACGCTGATTGGTGGTCGGACTACAAGAGGAACTCACCGGAAGCGATTTGTAGACCGCATCCAGATCTGTTGCAGGGGAACTGGACTCTAGCATCTGGCCGCGCGCGCTATTTGTCGATCACCTGGAGCCACGACTCCGGATGCTGGGGCATAGGCTGTCGTTCTCGCTCTCGCTTGAGTCGTGGACCGTTCTTCCTTCCACGATCATAGGCTACATCATGCCTCCGAAGATGCTTAAGCCCTGGAGTAACCTCGACTACCGCTCAGGCTAAACGAAGACCGACGATGATCTGCATACAACACCGACACAATATACACTATCGACATCGTGCTGACAGACTAGCATCCAAATCAAATCGCCCTAGCGTGCTGTTATCTTGACTTATAACAGTTGTTCCCCAACATGGAAGTAGATGGTCCGAGAGTCTTGTGTGACTTCCAACTCTACACTCGCAATCATCTCCTACCTTCACGATGGCGTTTCACATCGCTTCGTCCGTGAGCAAAGCGCTTTTACTATGCTCTTTCGCGTCAACAGTCCTGTCAGCGCCCGTTGAAAACGGGCCAACGGTCACCCTTGCCTCTGGTGTCATCGTGGGAACCACGACCAAGCCCTCAAATCAGCCATCATTGACAGCCTCCGCGAACGCCTACCTGGGAGTTCCTTTTGCAAAATCGCCCCCTCTTCGATTCGCGCCGCCCGAAGCAGCAGTACCTTGGTCTAGTCCTCTTCAGGCACAAAACGTCAAACCATCATGCATTCAGCAGTTTTCTGGTACTGGCGGTGTTCGCGACAGAACCATAGAGTACTTCAATGACCCTACCTTTCCACCGCCAGCGGAGAGTGAGGACTGCCTGTATCTCAATGTCTATACACCACCGGATGTAACATCTTCAAGCAAAAAGGCTGTTATGTTTTGGCTCTTTGGAGTATGCATCTACTGCCGGTTTACTCAGACTCGACAGCATGCTGACAAGTGCAGGGTAACTTGGCTTTCGGAACTGGTGGACTAAAGTACTACGACGGAAGCTCCCTAGCAATCAACGAAGATGTCGTTGTAGTCACTATCAACTACCGCACAAATAGTGAGTGTTTCCGTCATGTTACGTCGAGATTATTCGTATCTAACTTGCCCAATCTTAGTTTTCGGCTTCTCGAACTCGCCCGAAATACCCTTTGGCTCCCAGAACGCTGGCTTCTTGGACCAGAGATTCGCATTGCAATGGGTACAGGATAACATTGCGCAATTCGGAGGCGATCCTTCCCGCGTCATGATCTTCGGCGAATCCGCAGGCGGCGAGTCAGTGAAGCAACTGCTGGCCAATCCACCCAGTCCACTTCCATTCTCATCGGCTATCCTTGAGTCTCAGAACGCGGTACTTCCCGGAAACGGCCTCGTCAACTACAAGCAGGTGTTGCTGCATTTCGGCTGCACAGACATTGCGTGTCTTCGCAAGGTACCTGCCGTGGACATCAAAGCATATATTGAGCCGAACTCTCTCGCATTCCCACCTGTAAACAACGATGGCACATCAGTCCCTGACGTCAGACTCAGCATCTCCACTGGCAAATTTGCCAACGTACCAACCATGCTTGGAACGAACCTGAACGAAGCACGTGCCTTCTTAGCAGTAGCCGGTGTAACGGACGGTAAAACGGCCTTGGACAACTTCTTCGACCAGTACAACATTACATCGCAAGTCGTTCGTGACTCCATAATCGCGGCGTATGCTGCACAGGGTATCACGGACTTTTACGAGCTATCCGATAGGCTCGGCACAGATTTAGTCTTCACATGCACCACCGCCAGGCTAGCGAACTACCTCGCCATTTCTGGTCGCCCAACCTATCGATATCAGTTCACACCCGTCTTCCCTTCGGTCGGGATCTTCCCCGATCCAGGCGCCTATCACACTGCCGAGATTCCTGAGGTGTTTGGCACATATCCGCTTTCGAGCCAGTTCGGTACTGCAACGCAGCAACAGATTGAACTGAGTGCTTTCATGCAGAAGACTTGGGCAAACTTTGCGAAGAACCCCGCTGGTGGCGTTGGATGGCCCAAAGTGGGTAGTGCGCTTGGCAAAGAATTGGGTGTGCTGGGCAAAGACGGAAGTAGTGGTGTGACTATCCGGCCACTGCTGGAGGCAGACTATGCTTGCCCGCTATATGCAGCTGTTGAAGATCTTCTGGGCTTGTCTTTCAAGTAGATGATGGTGTTGTTCCCGGAAAATCATTATGTAGAATATGACGAGGAATGATTCATGCTTAATACGCTATCAGCGTTTACGCTTGATACACTAAGCTTACAACGAACAAGGTGATTACAACAGTTGCTAACACCCCTGCAAAGATGCTGAACCCAATCGTCCTTCTACGACTCAACCTCCCCATAACAAACTCCTCCCTCAAGTCCTTTTTCACCAAAGGTATCGAGAAAAGGAACCCAATACCAGCGAGCCAATAACCAATAGGGATAATGATCGCCAAACACAACTGTGTCACCCTCCTATAGCTTTCACTCGTTGTCTCCTCATCCATCAACGACAGGCCAATGATCTGAGGCCCTGAAGAATAAATGAGAACTTGCACACTACCCCAGATAGCGAGACCGAATGTCTTATAGCGCGGAGGAAGAAGAAGCGCAATGAGCGCGAAGAGACAGCCTAGCCAGAGCTCCGCAGTGAGATAAGCAAGACTCATGACGCCGTATAGAATCTTGATACCTCGGTCTTCTGAGCCATCGGCGATGTCGCGAGAGAAGACCATGAGGAGAACGAAAAGAGAGCTGATCATGCCTCCAATACCAGTCAGATAAATAGGCGTTAATTTCGTACGTGGCCATAGTACCGAGGTCAGAATTCCGCCACTTAGCACCGCGACTGACCCGACGACACCGACGATGATGCCGTAACGTGAGAAGATTTCGGTATGCGAGGGATATGTATCGCCGAGGTAGCTGGGCATGTAGTATCCGAAGACGTTGCCACTCAACTGACGAAAGCCGGCGGAGAGAACGAGGAGCCAGAAGGAGTTCAGGCGGAGGATGTATGCGAACGTAGCATGCAGATCAGAGGTTGCTGCTTTCAACCTCGATGTGCCTTGGATGTGCGGTGGTATGTCGGCGTAATCTTCGTCTACGCTGTTGCTGTGATGGCGTGCGTGCATTTGAACCAGGCTTTCTCTTCTCTTTGGTTCCCGCAGGACGAGTCTCAATAGCACCGCTACAACACATCCCGTGATGCCGATGGCTCTTAGAGCGATGCGCCAGCTTGTGCCGGTTTCCGTAAACGCGGTAGCAATCTGGCCACTGATGGCTTCGCCGATATACACTCCGACATAGAGTACACTCTCTCCGATGAACACGTTTCTCCATCCCACCAGGTCGCTGATGAGACTGATGGATAGTGCCTCCACACTTGCCTGTCCGATACCCATTCCAAGTCTTGCACAGAATAATTGTCCGAAGTTGTTCGCTAGAGACTGGAAGATGACGCATAAGCTCCACCATGCCGCTGTAACGCACAGAACCCATACGCGAGCAGATGTATAGTCCGACAGGAAAGCGATGGGGAGAGCGAGTATGGCGTAGACAATGCCTGTTGCGTAACCAGAGAGAAGGCCATATTGGGTCGAGCTCAGCGAGAGATCTGCTAGCACAGAATTCTGGAAGTATGATAGGATGAACTTGTCGTATTGCGCGAGGAAGTAGTTGACGAACAAAAGTGCAATGCAAAGGTATGCGTAGGCGTTGTGGAGAAGCGATTGCTTGGAAGCAGTTGCATGCGTGGTCGGTACCACCTCGTCTTGGTAGGGTCGTTTCGTTCCCTCGTCATAGGGACGTTTTATATCCATTCTCAAGTGATTTCTTTTGCAGTGAGCTTTGAAACCTCAGAAATTCCAGGATAAGCTGTGTCTAGACTCGTTGAATACCAAGCGGTGGCGTAAAGTCGATGACGTAGCAACCACCACACCCCGCAGCCGAGACACCCGTTGCGGTATGAGGTTAGGCGTTGCTGCGATCTGTAGTTCACAGGCAAACCCACTGTCCACGATGCCTAAGCCAGGACCGCAACTTCCTCTGGGAAGCTCTTCGACACTGCGCGGGTTTGCCGAGAGCTTCTCGTTCCACAACTCGCCAGAAGCATTCATCACATCGCGCATCATCGATTTCCAAAGACAGCACCCGGAGGCTGTAGAGAATAGAGCTATCGTTCGGGCAAAGGTGCTGAATCGCAATGTCGCAATTGTCTCCTCGCATGCGCAAATCCATCAAGTCCTGGCCCAGGATGCGGCAGGTTACGAAGCCAGTGGCGCATATGCTGAGCTGATGGCACCGTTCTTTCCATCACCGAACTTGCTACTGACGGATGGTGACGAACACGCATCTATGCGTCAAATTTGGGAAGCGAGAATGGAGTCTGTCAAGAAAGTGCTAGCTCCTGCAGTATCTGAGCGGGTCAACCAACATTTTTCTGAGCCGTCAACGTCAGAGATAGACATGTATGAATCTCTGAAAAGGCTTTCATGGAAGATACTGCTCGGAACATTCCTGGGTCTCGACCGCGACAACAGTCTCTTCGATACGCTGGAGAGCCTACAGGAAGACCTACTTCGAGGCCAATTCTCGCTGTTCCCGGTGACGGTCAACACAGGTTTTTGGCACTCGCCTCGTAAGAAGGGTAAGGAGGCGAACAAGAAGCTGCAAGACAGGATTCTGCGTCACATGAAGGAAGATGTGAAAGCATGTCCATTTGCTGTTGCGGGCCAAGGCGAAACAGAGGATGTGGCAAAGCACTCAGTCCTCTTTACCAGCAGCCTCGCGGTCAAAGCGCTAGCATCTCTTCTGACAGCCTTCTTGTCAAACCTATTCTTGTATCGGACGAAGGACGGTCGATCGCTGGCCGATACTTTGACCGGTGAAACTGAACCAGGGAGGCTTTCGCTACGCTTACGCGCCATACTATTAGAGACTGAACGACTTAGCCCGCCGATTGTAGGCGTCATGAGAAGATCAACAAGAGACAATATCATCTCGTCGCCGGGAGAGCAGGCTGACATCAGAATACCAAAGGGCTGGGACTGTTGGTTGTATTTCGTGGGCGGTGGCCGCGATCCATCGACCTACGGGTCGACTTGGGATGTGTTCGATCCAGATCGATATTTTGACAAGAACCTGGCGCCCGGTGTAGCCTATGGAGCGGGTCCGAAGACTTGTTTGGGTCGCGATGCGATCCGCGAGATCGCGCGGGCTGTAGCAGAGACAATTTTGCGCCTCGGAATCAAGATTGATGGGAATATTGAACCGCGTGGTGTACGCGGCTGGCTGGGATGGGAACCGAACGAGTCGGTGATGCCTGAGGATTGGGCTCGTGATATGAAGCAGTTGCCGACTCAGAGACCGTCAGACCCAATCATGATACGTGTGTCGCCTAGATCTTCATAGCAATATATCAATGTATTCGTCGCTTGGTGTTCCTCTTCGCTACGTTGAAAGCCAGCATGGTCCACCAGATACCGTTCAGCCCAACTAGCATAGCGGTCCCGATCTGACATCGTTTCCTGAGCATCGCATACGCTTGAAACGGACCAAGGCCATGATGCTGACCGTATTTCGTCAATATCCAGTAAACGACACCGAATCTTGAAGCGGCGAATGTTGCCAAGAAGGCCATATCTAGAGCAGTGTTCGATGCTCCGGTGCGCTGTCGGTTCCACCATCGCGCATGCATCAGTGGTGTACTGCCATTCATCAATAAGAACGCAGTGATCACCCACATCCCCTTTTCTTTGCCGGCTGCAATGTACGCTTGCAGCATGAGTAACGCGGATGAAAGCAGCACGTGATGCACGAGAGTGATGGGCGAGTCTCGGGCCACAACGCGTAAGGCAGCGCAAGATGCAGACTGATCCTTCTTGCGGCGTGCACGAATCATCGCATAAGTGTCGTACAGGAGGTAAGCGGTCTCCCATGCAGTCAGCGCGTTAGCCAACTTGTTGTGACCATTGATCGTAGGGTTACGCGAATCGTCTAGGTGGTGGCTCTTTCCGTGAGCGTCTTGAGGGGCTGATCTTGGTGACGGGGGTATCGGCCATGACGAGAATCGCAGTAACAAGAATGCAATGATAGAAGATGTTGTGGCATGCGCTGCTGAGACGGCCTTATTGAACCTGATTGGATCTGTTGACATTCTCGAGCTTCGGTATTGCGGAATGTTGCTTGTCAGAGCGATAGGAGTGCTATGCAAATAGCGTATTGATGGGAGGCGATGAAATGGCTGCGGTGGCTTCTTGGGCGCTCCTCGGCTGACTGACACTCGTGGTCCGTGCGTCATGCACGTCATCGACCCCTTCATCCCAGCCACCGAGTTGGACCCGATCCGCAAACAACATCATCACATTATTCTCAGTTAAAGCGAGTCGCAGTAATGTCTGGTACACTTTACATCCTATACAATGCCGACGCATCTATCATGGGCAAATTGAGGTACAGTTATCGGAAGATTTGCCATTCTTCAGAAGAGAATCCAGCTTGTGCCGCCTGTGTGCTTCCCTCGGCGAATTAATCCGTCTGATAATGTGACAAAGTATGCTGATTCCCGCAGGTGATATTACACATGGCGGATTGTCATTGAAAGAAACACCAGCTTGGGCAGAAGCGAAGAAAGCAATAGAGGCTGAGTCTGGATACCACATCGTGCAATGGCATAGAGATGAGCTGTCAGAAGAGGTTCGTGGTCACGATGGGACCTTGCGAGTACTGGGATCCAAGTATTGACCATTTGCAGGTGAAGAACTTCATCGAGTCCAACAACATCCGTTATCCGACCATTGTGTCGAGCGGAAGCAATGGTAGTCTCTCAGAGGTGATGAGCAACTCGGAGCTTGCGGCTTGTAAAGGCAATGCACAAAGTGTCATCTCGAGGCTTCGAGAGAAGGGCATCATGCAGCAGAAAGCGGTCTCTCCTTCTCTGTAGCGAGTTCCATTCGATACCAGTTAGCTCAGCGCCTGCACAAGCCAATTTGTCCTTTGAGCAATGCCTAAGCATACTAAAAGGGCCATGGTCCATGAGAGATGCTGCAGATAGCGAGGAAATATGAGCATGGCTGTGAAGAAAGCCGCGCTTTCCGTCCCTTCGATAAGTGCTGGTCGCATTGCCACGCTGGTCAGCTCTTTAACCCGGCTTCCATCTTTCCCGCTGCCCTTGCG